TTAGCTGTGGAGGGCAGTGTCACTGGCCCTCATATGTGGGATCCGAACTGGGGCCCTCTGGCATCCCAAGCGAGTTCTTAACCATCGCACCACTCGGCCGGCCCGTCAAGGCTGTTATTTTTTGAATTCAGAAGAAACTGAGAAATTCTACTAGCTTTTTAAAAAAAAGTGACGAAATATTTCAGACTACCCAGCCTAAGAAAAAAAATAATTATCAATACAGTTGAACTTCTCTGAATATATAGCCCACCCCAAAACCTGTTCCTTTTATCCCCAGAGGGAAGTTGATATTTGTGAATTTTGTATTACATCACTCCTAGCCTTTTTTATTTACAGAGGATGCCAAAAAATGTACACACATTTTAAGAAAGGAAAAAAATGTATTAAAGGAAAAAAATGAACAAAAGATGAATACAAGTTATGTTTATACATTGTTTTGGCACCCCCGGTATAGTCCTAAATGAGATATAAATAATTCCTAAATAATTATGTAATTATCTTGTATATTTTAAACTTCATATAAATGACATCATGCAGTCCTTTTTTCTGCAGCTTGCTCTCTTCACTCATGTAACTTGAGTTTCTGGTCAGCCATTTATACTGTTGTATAGTACTCCATTGTATGAATATACCTCAAGTTTCCTCATTCATTTTCCTTTTGAAGGACTTCTATTTTTAGCTATTACAAACAAAAATGCTGCTATCAATGTTCTTATACACACCTAAGACAATTTCAGATTTGATGACCAGTAATGGAACTGCCAGTACATAAGATATGCACATCTTCACTTCACTAAAAAGTGCAAAACTGCTCTCCAAAGTGGGTATACCTATTTACATTTCCTACATACTAGATAATTCTACCAGGAAAAATATCATTATAGCTTTATTTTTCTCAAAATTTTTTTCCCATTACAGCTTTATTAAAAACATTAAATCAGGGAATAATCACCGTTTTGAAGATCCTTGGAAAACAAATTCTGATTCAATTCTGTGTCTGATTGTGCTGTTCCCTCTACCTGGAAGACTCGTCTCTTCTTGTGAATTCCTGCTTGTCTTTCAAGGTCAGTTTGATTTAACCTTCTCTGACCCCTGCCTACCACCCTTTCTGCTTCCTCTAGTATCCCAAGTGCAGCAATGCTCCCACTTTGCAGAGACTGCCAATCCACAGCCCTTTCCGTTCGCACTGTTAATCTATCTGCCTATCCTCCCCCCATACAGCACAGATTTCATGATGCATCATTATAATCACTCCTTTAAAAGTACCCTTGTCTCCTTTGTCCCCTCTCTCTCTCAGGGGTATTTACTTTACAAAACCCCAAACCTGGTTGAATCCAACCTTTTTCTTTCTCAACCAGCTTGAATAGTTTAAAGTCATGACCATGATCCTTAGCATGGCACTCAACAGGGACCACTGGGCCTACTATTTCCCTTAGTAAGTTCACCGTCCTAGCCTCTGATATGACTGTTTTCATACCTTATTCCTGCATCCAGTTCCATCCCCACCCTGAACTTGACTCCACTTGGTTTTCTTTGAGGAATAAAGGGACAAGGGAAGGTAAAACAAATGCAAAATACGATCATAAGCAAAATAAGTTATCGTTACAGATGGCATAGTACTTACCCAATAGCTACTAAATCTTCATGATGAGGTGAGCAAGTAAGACAAAAAATTGTCCTGGGTTCTATAAAGAGGTACTGGCTGTCATTTCTGTTAAGCCAATAACAGAAAACTACTCCTTTTTCATCTCCAGATATTATTAAGTCCTTTACTTGAGGAGACCAATGCAATGCTGATATTGTATGCTTTAAAACAAAACCAAAATAGAATTATTTAAAATAATTTTATCCTTTAATAACTTAATGCAAAGTTCAAAATAAGATTAAATGAATCTTCCTTTCCACATTCTCTCAAAAGGCAGGTATAGACCATCAGGTTTAGAAACAAGTTTCATTCACTTTAGTTTACATCAGGAGTCTTTTTTATGTAAAGAACCAGAGAGTAAATACGCGGATTTTAGATTTTGTGGGCCATGTTGTCTCTATTACAGCGACTCAGCTCTGTGGATGTAGCATGCAAACAGCCAGTACTTAAATTGCGAACAACACTTAAATGAATGACTGTGGCTGTATTACAGTAAAACAGTTTGCAAAAACAGGCAGCAGTATAGTTTGCTGACCTTTGGTTTATATGTATCTCCTTCCAAAAAAGTTTCTTACAACTTAGAGCTTCTTATCTAATTAATGAACACAATTATAAAAGTTACCTTGCACAGATGAGCTAGCAAAACCATAACTTGAAGCAAAAGAACCCTTGGCATAGATATGTAATAACAGTCTGAGAAACCAGTAAGCCCTGGTACCTGATGGAGTGCATGTTCTGTCACCACTGTTTTTGTCTCAGCATCCCAGATTTTCACAGTCCCATCGTCGGAGCTGCTGGCACAGAGGTTGTATTGACCCGGATGATGAGAAAACGTGAAGCCAGAGACCCTTTCGGTGTGTCCCACCAATTCCCCTATGACTTCAAGCAAAACCAGACTCCAGGTTAAAGTGCTACCTGAGATTTCTGGCATAATCATACTGTTAGATGATGAGTGGGATCTCACCTGTCTCCTGGTATAACAAAAATATCCAGGGACTCAGAATCAGAAACCCCAAGTGCTGGTACTGGTTCTGCCACGTGACTTCAGACTAGTCATTTTATCTCCTTGAGCCTGCCTTGTTGATATCCCTTGATAAGACTAGCTCACAGGCTGAGGAATGGCTCAAATGAAGAATGTGCTTCTTATTTAGATCTGGCCAGAAGTTTGGAATAGAATAACTATCTGGCCTGCCATATCCCAAGGAATAATCAAAATCTACTGTGGAGCCTGAAAGCAACTGGTTCAACTCATTCATCTTAAAGAAACGAGTATCAAATATTTGCAAGATCTTGCTTAGGGCCTGGAGCGGTAGGCAGCCCCTAACCCCAGGAAGGCTCCCAAGGGGTCTGCCCGCACTGGGTGGGGGAGGGAGGCTACAAATGTTATAAATGCCTGGGTCTAGCCCGGAATAACTTTTCAGTAAGCGAGCAGTCCCATGTGAGAGCGCCAGGAGGTGGGACCGCTCATCCACAGCGTGCTGTAGCTCAAAAGTAGAGATCGGGATACGACTCAGCTTAGGGACAGTGGGCAAACCCTTCTCCCTGCCCGGGCCTCAGTTTCCCCAGCTGTACAGAAGTATGGCTGAAGACGGCCATCGGCGCCTCAGGGGAACACAAGAAGTGCAGGAAAAGAGGGGAAAGGGGTAGAGAGTTACCTCGAAATGAGGGCGTCCCAGGGATCGCACCTGCGCCCGGGCCCACGCGGACAAGGAAGACTGAGGTCCGCGCCGCGAACCCGAAAAGGCCCCCGGGCACGGCATCGCTGCATCGGGCGTAGTACCAATTAGGGGAGGGCGGCAGCGTGCGCGGCTCCTGTCCCATGATCACGGGCCACCAGGGATGATGAAGGAAAGAGCTTCTGGGGCGGACCGTTCGCGGCTCCACGCCGTAACTGGGAAGGGGGCGGGGTCGCTTGAAGCCCCGCCTACCCGGGCCCGCTGCTACGGCAGGCGCAGAGGCCCAGACCGTGCCACGCGTTCCTCTCCTGCCGCCGCGGGGCTGGAAAGGGCGGCGCCGCGCTCTGGGCGTTTTGCCTCCCAGTCTCGCCCGCGGCGAGATGATCTGGTGCTGCCTGAGCCCGGCCCCGGGGTTAGGCATTCTCGCCTCCTACAGCCAAGATACATAATTTAGGGGTTAGACAGGTGGAGTCACCTTCCCGCACCGCCGGTTTTTTCTTTGGACCTATTCAACAACTGTCCCATCAAGTATTTTTTGAACGCTGTGTGCTAGGGCACTTTGCTAGTTCTGGAGATGCTTTAAAGATATCTACAAGAAGCCAATTAACAAAAATATAGAAGTTCGAATCGGAAATCAAAAAGGAAAGAGTTTGTGCAACTGGGTGGAAATTCTGGCTCTGGGTTCTTGGTAACTCAAGGAGCAGAATAGAGTGACTTGATTTGATAGAGTGCCAACTTAAATGCTGTGGAAGAAAAAGAATGGAAGTGTCCTTCCAACTCAAACATGCCAAAATGCTCAGATTTCTGCACTTGCACTCTCTTAGCCTGTATTGCTTGTTTGCATTGGGTATCTGACATTCCTACACCTGTAGCAAACGAAACCTGAGATATCTATCCTAATATAGAAAGGTCAGACATATATGTGGATGTGGGTAGCCCCACTAACTTTGGAGCCATCCAATCCAGATTGACTACTAGTTTTGCCTATTCTAAATCTGTTTCTTCATTTGAAAAGATGATAATCCACGCCTTGTTGGCTTGCTGTGAGGAATACTTGAGATTTAGTGAAATGCCTGCTGGATATATATGGTAGCAAGTGCCCGTTGATTAACTTTTATCTCTTGTTAGGTCAATACGGAAATTAATACGGATTAGGACATCATACTTTGAACTGCTTTTCTTTTTTCTTTTAAAGAGCTTTTCACATGATCTCTAGTGATCTTACAACAAAATTGCTGTAGGGATAACTATTTCTTACGACTTTACTGGCTAGAAAACTGAGGCACGCCCAATTTAGGTGGCTTATTCACGGTCTGTTTTCCTAATCCTTTCAGACCATTTGTGAGGTGAGGTTTCGCAGTTTTTCTGAATCCCGGTAAATTTCTGGAAACTCACTAGTTTTCGGCCTTTGTTAAGTCATTCTTTCCCAAGCAAGATTAGGCTGATCACACCTTAAGCGCCGGCAGCGCGTTTGCAATCTCCATGACAACACCGCGGCTACTGCAGGGTTTTCAGCTGGGGAGGAAATGCGGCGAGTTGCGCATGCGTCTTGTCCAGACGGTGAATGAACTGAGAGGCTTCCGTAGAGAGTGGGAGAAAGATGGCGGCGGGAATACTGGAGCGTTTGGGTAAGAGTTTCTTAACGATTGAGGGGCGGTAGAAGGGAGTGGAAGTGGGGGCCTGAGTTGACGGCTTGTGTTATATTGCAGGTGCGTTATGGATGCAGAATCTGAGGGGGAAGCTGGCCTTGAGGTAAGTCTCGGAGTTTCAGAAGGGCCCAAGGCCCACTTGTGAGTCTATCAGTCAGTCACTAAGAGCCTATGTGCCAGGCTCTGCTTTAGGCTGTGGGGCTAGGGAAGTGCCAGCCAGAGTCTTTGCTTTGTCACCCCATCATTCTGCCGCCGTATATTGTATAGCCCTCAAAGGATCAGGATTACCTATTACCCAAGGAATGTTGTAAATGTCTTTTCTGAACTGTCTCTTCTGATCTTTCTGAACATGGTTAGATTCTCCCAGCCATGTTGGAGCATCCAACTTTTTTAGTTACCAGCTCTAGTTACTTGCTTCCATGAGCAGGGAGTGTATTATAGACAGCCGCGGCTTACCTCGGGCCTTGTATTAAATGCTTTACATGCGTTATGTTGTTCTCATAACATCCTATGCAGCACACATACTGTTATACCCACTTTTCAGACAAGGAAGTTGGAGCTCCCAAAAGTAAAATAACTTTCCTAAGCCCCCCCCCCCCAAGTTATAGAAAGTTTTGAAGCTTTATACTACTCTCAGAGCATTCTGTGACCTCAGGACGAAACTGTTCTTTAAGGTTAAGGAACGCAGTTGAGTCAGGACTGGTGAGAATCCTTTCCCCTTCTCATTGCCCCTCTTTTGGAGATTGATAATTTGATTGTAAATTTATTGATCAGTGCATTTGTTAGCCTTTATTTTGATTTATATAGGCTTTAGAGACAGATAAGTTGTGTGTGAATCTACTTTTTAACTGTGTGATTTGAGGAAAGTTACTTATTTCTAAGTTTCAGTTCTCATATATGATATGAAAGTATTATTATTACCTACCTCAGATTTTTTTTTTTTTAAAGATTTTTATTGGGGAATTGGGGGAAGGGGAACAGACAGGTTGCTGTCCTTTTGTTCTTCAGTCTAGTTGTGTAGGATGTTGCTTCACTGGCCCAAGTTGGCACCATCATTGCGCTCTTCCTGGGCGAGGCAGATGAGTCGCCGGCTTCTGGACGGCCGCTCACGCTGGCTGCTGGCTACACACGGTAGCCCATGGCAACCCACTGCCACAGGGGCTGCAGCCTACGCCATTGCTGGCAACTCACGACAGCCCAGCTCCAGGTTGAGCTGTTGTTCAGCATCTCAGCTGTGGAGGGCAGTGTCACTGGCCCTCACATGTGGCATCCAAACTGAGGCCCTCTAGCGTCCCAGTCCAGCTCTTAACCATCGTGGCACTTGGCTGGCTTTACCTCAGATTTTTTTAATGAGGATTATATGAGATATGTAGTACACTGCTTGGCATATAATAATCCCACCCTAAATTTTAGCCACCATTACTGTTTTTATTGTTATAAATTATTATTGAGTTCACATTACTTTTAGCTCTGTCCTAATTCTTGGGTTAGGGGGATGACGAGGTGGGCTAACGAAGAAAATAGTGAGCACTGGCCCTTAGAAGATAATCTAAGAAAGCAAAGCTTAGACAAATTCTATCACTCCCTCTCAGCCACGCTGATTTTACTCATTTTTTGAGAATATGTTGTGTATGTACTTGCCCCTTGGCTTTTTCATGCTTGACCCTCACTTGCTGCCTATAGCAGCAGTTCTATTCTTTATTTAAAACCCTGTTCAAATGTTTCCCCTTCAGGAGGTTTTCTCAGCGCTCCCTAAAACTGAAATTAATTTCTCCTTTTTAGTGTGTGTGCCTTGAATATTGGCTTCACATATACGTGTTTGTGCGCGTTACTATCTTATGTACCCTGGACAGGTAGGGTCAATTCTTGTTTTTCTTTGTAGCTCCAACATAGAGTCTTTCACAAAGTGTTTATTTTGTTAATGTTTGTTGATTTATATTGTCCTGCACTGATTTATACTGGGAAGCTCTGAGCAAGTAACTTAAGCAGTTTGGCTTCAGTCTTTTCATCTGTGTCATAAAGGGTTTGATTTTTCTAGATACTCTCTAAGGCTTTTTCTAGTTCTGAAGTTATATAATTTTATGAATCTTTGTTCTGGGCTGTCTAATGGGGAATGATCATGAGAACTAAGTAGAAAAGATATACATAATGCTCATGATAACTGTGTAAAATCTTAGAGATCATCTGATTCAGAGATTGGAAACTTTAATTGCATACAGGTGCCAGACAGATAATAGAAATAAATGAACTAGGAGAAGTGGTCCATGTAAAATGAGAGAGGGGTGGGCCTACGGCAGTAGAGCGCGTTCCTCATCTAAAGGTTTCAGTTGGATTAAGAAAAAAATGCTGCTGACCAAATAGAACTTTTCTGCAGGCTGTGTGTGATAGCAGACTGGCAGTTTCCAACCATTGAATTCCAAGTCTCCCATTTTACTGATGGGTGCATTTGAGAAGTTTTGTGACTTACAAAAGGTTTCAGAGTTAATATGCAGCCGATCTGGGATCGAAACAAAATTTTCTGGCTTTCACTAGTGCTCTCTCACACCATGGGAGAGACAGAGTGATGGGCCCAAAAGAGATTTGTCGGGAGATTTTTTGGGAAGAGGTGACTTAAGTTTAGAGTAAAGAGTACATTTTGGTGGTTGAGAAATAGAAGGGCTAGTGTAACAGTTTGAAGGCACTAGTGACTTAGATGTATGTAGGTTAAAATTCTCCACAAGAAAAAGTTGGAAATGTCATGAATCAGCAGTTTGGTGGAAAAATGACTACAGCAGCATGATATATTTGAATAAACACTGGGCTACAGAAGATAGAGCGGGTCTCTGTCAGGGACAAATATTTTCCCTTAACATTTTGCTTAACTTCTCTGAGGCTCCTGTTTCCTCATCTCAAAAAAATGAGGATAATATCTACGTTAGAGGGTGGTTGTGAGAGTTGAGAGAATTAATAGTAAAATGTCTGTTGTAGTGTGTGTCTGGCACTGTGTAGGTGTAGTGATGGGAATGATAGCATCATGAAGTTCTTTCAAAGGAATCAGATTTTATGCTGGAACCAATCAGTAACCACTCAATACTCTTAAATGCGATTGCATATTTCATGTATTAACCCTAATTTTATAGAACAGTTGGCCAGAAGATAAGGCACTGAAACATAAATCAGCCTCCTTTTCCATTTAGTTAAGTATTCTTAAGAGACTTTTCCAAAGTAAAGGGTAGAAATTGTCTCTGATTTTTATTCATCTACACACTCAGTGTTCTGATCGCCATCACCAGCAAGATTTGACAACCACATTGATACTGTGCTCTTTTAATTGAAGCTTACCCTGTGATCTGAGGGGTTGTGATTCCTTGCCTTTTAGGACAGTGGTTCTTAAATTTTTGTTACAAACCCCTTTGAGAGTATGAGGAAGGCCACAAAACATCTTCCCAGAAAAATGCATATTGCAGTCATAGCTTTGCTTGTAATTTTGTAACCCTCAGTCTAGGAATCTCCGCACTGGGACATCACAACTAAATATAAGCACCTGTAATGCTAGCCATGCAATGAGTACACTGTAGCGATTTCCAATGTAAGTACATTGGAAAGCATGTCGGGCAGTGGCCCTTGCATTCATGGGTGAAATAATATTGCCCTCAATTTATTTTGAAAATTTTCAATTCTGTAGGAAAGTTGAAAAAAATATTACAGTATCTTAAAAGGCACAGGACAACCTTCTACAACAACGAATGACCCAAAATGTCAATAATGCAGACGCTGAGAAACTCTTGTTTGCTAAACTCTTGTTTCCTTGTTTGATTGTCTTTGACTTTTCACAAAGTAAGATTGTATTGAGTTATGAGAGTATACATATCAATTCAGCCCTTTATTTTAGATTTTAATTGAGACAAGAGGGAGGATGTTCTTGTATTGTTAAAATGTTATCAGAAGTAGATTTGAAATAAATAATTTTTTACCTTGACGCATATAATAGAATGATATTCTTTTTTTTTTTTTAATTGGGGAATTGGGGGGATGGGAACGATGCTGGGGAATTGGGGGAAGGGGAACAGACAAGTTGCTGTCCTTTTGTTCTTCAATCTAGTTGTGGAGGACGTTGCTTCACTGGCCCAAGTTGGCACCATCATTGCGCTCTTCCCGAGCGAGGCAGATCAGTTGCCGGCTTCTGGACGGCCGCTCACTGCGGCTGCTCGCCGCTCACGCTGGCTGCTGGCTACACATGGTAGCCCATGGCAACCCACTGCCACAGGGGCTGCAGCCTATGCCGTTGCCGGCAACTCACGGCAGCCCAGCTCTAGGTTGATCTGTTGTTCAGCATCCTAGCTGTAGAGGGCAGTGTCACTGGCCCTCTTATGTGGGATCCGAACCGGGGTCCTCTGGCGTCCCAAGCCAGTTCTTAACCAACACACCACTCGGCCGGCCCTAGAATGATATTCTTAAGATTGAGCCTGAGGCCAGTATTATCTTCACTCAGGACTTGGGTATACACCTTGTACTGAATTTCAAAATGAAGTTTGAGTAATAAATAGGAAGTATTTATTGGGAAGAGAACTTTTTCAAATTGTGACTTTGGAAAGTTTCAGAGAGACTATTTTATCTGAATTAACCCTTAATCCTAAAATTTAGTGTATATCTACTAATCTTTAATGTGTAATGACTGTGGGTAGAATTTAAAAAGTGATACTTAATTCTCATGTATTGGTAGATAGGAACACCAGAATAATGAGAAGTAAGAAAATGCTTCATATGCTAGTTCCAGTATACCACCCGCTCTGGCAGGCTCACCTCACTGTGGGCCCCTTGTGTGTGTGTTGTGTGTACAAGCACTTCGTTGAGTTGGTTCACACCTACCTTCCTTTTCGCAATTTACAGAGATACAGTGAAGCTAAAGGGATCTGGGATTCCTAGTAAATGAAAGGCTATTCTCAGTGATGATATTTGAATTTCAGAATGATGACAGTTGATTCTAGATGTCTTTCAGTTCTTTCTTTTTTAAAAAAGGTTTAACTTATATTGATTCTTTAGAATGCTAACAGAAAACTAGAGCTCTAGGCAGCCTTAAAATTTAATGTTTGGAAAACAATAGTAATAACCTATGCCATCATTTTTTAATTCCACCAAGTTCCTTTTCTGGAGTTTGTTTTCTCAAGCGACCCTTCATAGGGCTTCTTATATAAAAAGGTGTCATAAAAGCCTCAAGTTTTGAAATAGTTTTATTTTCAATTTTGCCTTACGATTGCTTCATTTTTATATTCTTTAATTTAGTGTTAGGCTGACAGCTGGCCAGGAGGGGGCGTATAAGAACTTTGGATGTATTAGTAATATACTTCTAAATTAAGTACCCTGTTTAGAATATTATATTGATTTAATTTGATTACAGTAGTTTAGTATTTACTGGATGATTCATTTTATGAACCATTTGAGCCCTGAAAGCGTTGTAGGTATTCAGAAAGCTTTGTCATTATTAATTCATAATGCATTTAATTTATTAAGCATCATATTTAATTAATCAAATATGTATTGAGGATTTGAGTGCAAGGTACTGTGCTACATATGGCAGATTACGATATTGTGATTTATATGTCCTTGACCAAGTATATATTTCTCATGTATATTCAATCTTCAGCTATATTTGTAGTTCCCAGCTCCCCAAATCCTAGTATTTTCCTTCTTGCAAGTGACAAAGGTGTCTTGTTATGTTAATGAGGTTTTTTTTGGAAAGCATCTATGGATGTGGGCTGGTTGCCAATGGAACCAACCATGGGATTAGAGGATTGGAATTTTTAGTCCCACTTCCCTCACCTCCTGGAAGGGGAGAGGGGCTTGCAGATTGAATCAGTCTCCAGTGGCCACTGATTTAATCATTCATACCTATGTAATGAGGCCTCCATTAAAAACCCAAAAGGAGAGGGTTTGGAGAGCTGCCAGCGTGGTGAACATGTGGAGATTCGGGGAGAATGGTATTCTCCGGGAGGGCAGGGAAGCTCTGTGCCCTTTCCCCATACTTTGCCCCGCGCATCACTTCCCTCTGGCTGTTTCTGAGTTATATCCTTTTATAACAAACTGATGACCCAATAAGTAAAATGTTTCTGAGTTCTGTGAGCGCTCTAGCAAATTCATCAAACCTGAGGAGGGGATCTTGGGAATCTGATTTATAGCCAGTTGGTCAGCAGTATAGGTAACAACGTGGTCTGTGAAGTGCAGTGTGTGTGTGTGTGTGTGTGTGTGTGTGTGTGTTTGGGGGTGGGGCAGTTTCGCAAGTCTGAATCCTTAGAACCCTTAATCTGTGGACTCAGCACTCAGTAGATAGTGTCAGAATTGCTTGGTGTTGTGTGGGAACCGCTCTCCCCTCCACACCCACTGAAATTGGGTCCAGGAGCCCAAAAGAGGGCTCCAGAAGGCATGGGCCTCACCCTCAAGGAGCCTTTCAGACTAGCTGGTACGGGAATGGTTTCATTGAAGAAGGATTAAAATAGAAGCCAAGGGGTTTATGGAACCATGCTGTTAGCGATGAGATCGGAGACAGAATCAAGGTTTGGAGAGACCATAGTGATGAAATAGTCCAGCTTTTTTTTTTTTTCTTTTCCTAGATAAAGAAACTGAGGTCCAGAGAGGTGACAAACAGTGTACCCAAAGTTAATTACAACTTCGTAGAAACATAAATGATCATGGCTATAAACAAGAGAAGGTTTGACGTTGTGTAATATAAAGTTCACAGTTCACAGGGCTTATTTTTTTGGAGAACAGGAGATATTCAGGGTTCAGTGGGCCCAATTTAAAATTAGTAGTAGCCATTTTTCATCTCCTAGATGTTTATCATCTAGACACTGTAGGGCACGGCACATTAATTATTAATCTACCCACAACAGAATGAAGTAGGTATTATTCTCCTTATTCTAAAAGTAATAATAATCTAAAGATAATTGAGCCCTATTAAGTGTCAGGTAAGTATTTTACTTACAGCTTCTGAAGAAGCCTATGAGGTATTTACTGTTATTACTCCATTTACTAATGAAAAAACAGATGGAGAAAGTTATGTGACTTCTCCAAGGCCCTTCACTCAGTAAATCAGAGTTAGTTAGGATTTAGAGTCTGCTTGACTCTATAGTCTCTGCCCTCATCATTGGAACCGAATGTGGATGACAAAGGTACAGACTTTATCAGGTACTTAGATGGCCCTGATCTTCATGTTATGATGTTATGGTTACTTGAGATAGAGTAGGAGAAATGAGCCACTAGGAGAAAAATAGTTTTTAAACATTTTGTAGTCTGAATGGTTTTGGGACTAGAAACAAAGGCTTTGGCAAGCATATCATCCAAATGCATATATTGTGTGAGAATCTGCCAATATACAACAACTTTGAGTATTTCTGTTCGGGTTTAATATTTACTCAGTATCCGTATACCAGACGTTGGCCTTGGTGCTAGAACACAAAGGATGTTGGACTTACCCTCAGGATGCTCAAGTCTACACCCTTATTACAGGAATTCATTCTACTACAGCAAAGTTATTATAGTGCGTATAATCCAGCTCATTGCTGCATGGCTGCCAAGAAGAAAGTGCCAAGACAATGGGGGGAATGGTTGCCTGGGACAAAGGACTAGGTGGTGTTTCACACTGAGGTGACATTTGAGCTGGAACTTTAAACAGGATAAGCATTTCATTTAGGAGATCATGAGGGAGGAGAAAACAATATTAGCAAAGACATGACTGTATGAAAGTATGTGCCTTATTTAGGGAACAAAGAAGGTGTGGGTAGGCCATAACGTAAAGAAGCTGACCTTCTTTATCTTGCTAAGGAGCTCAGACTCTGTATTTCAGGCAATAGGGAACACCAAAGTTGGTTGTGTTATTTAGGTATATCTAGACGTATAAAAAAGTAGACAATATGATGAACCCTCATGAACCCATCACCCAACTTCAACAATTATTAACACATGCCCAATCTTGTTTTATCAATAGCCCCTACACTATTTTGAAACAAATCCCAGATACTGTGTTATTTCATCACCACAGTATCTCATTACAAAGCATCAAATATCCAGTTAATGTTCAAATTTCCAGTGGTTAAGTAGCTGTCATACTTTTGAAACAATAGTCCGCACATTGAAATTAGTTATTTCTCTTAAGTCTCTTAATCTGTAGCTTCTTTATTAAGCTCTCTTTTTTCCCCTTGTAGTTTATTTGTTGAAGAAAATGGTTTTTTTTGTCTTGTAGAGTTTTGTACAGCTTGGGTTCCGCAGAGTACATCCTCCTGATGTGTTTAGTATGTTCCCCTGTCTCTGTATTTCCTGTATTGAATCTTAGAGGCTTGATCGATTCAGGTTTAGTTTTTGTGGAAAGACAACTTCATGGATGGTGAATGGTATGTTCTTTCATCAGGAGGTACATCATGCCAACTTTATCCATTAATTTCTTAAGGATTATAAAACGATGCTATTTGTCTTGCTTACTCAACAAGTTGAGGAATTCCACAGGTCAGGTCAGGGATCCATTATGTCTTTTTAAAATCTGTTTTAGGACTGGGCTGACTTATATTACAAAGTCATTACTTATTGGCCAGTACGAGCAAGAGATCTTGGGTGAATATCTGTTTATTATTTGACTGATATGGGTTATTTTCGCTCTTCTTAGCTTTCAGTAAACTAGCTCTTTGTGGTATTTTATGTAAAAGCAGTCTGTATTCATGAATGGAATATTTACCCTTGTGATCCTTAAAGAGTTTCTGTCATAATGGAGCTGATGTTAACAAGATACATAAGCTCTGCAAAAAGATTCTCAGCGTCTGTTGTTTTGCAGGCTTCTTTCATCTCACAGTGTTTTACCCCAGTCACACCTCCACACAAGTGCTTCTCTTGACATTTCTCGAAAATGGGAGAAGAAGAATAAAATTGTTTATCCTCCACAACTGCCTGGAGAACCTCGGAGACCAGCAGTAAGTCTGTGGTAGAACTAATTTTGATAATGCGCTCTCACTGTTATGTGACTAGCAATGATTGATTTTCCATGTTAAGAAAAGAAAAATTATATAGCACTTGGCATGATCCTTTAATTGGTAAAGAAAATGTACTAGATTGATCTCTTTGGCAGTTTAAAAAGATCGTGTTTGTTGTACCTATTTGTTTGCCTTAACCTCCTTGGATAGAGGCCTTAACTCTAAAACTAAGCTAATTGAGACTTACTGATTTTTGATTCCAGGGGGCTTGATAATGATTCTTGATAATGGAGAATAGGAGTTGGCAAGAGTGACTTAACACATTGTGGAGCGGTGATGCAGATTTGCGTCTATACATTTAAATGCCCCGTCCTCAATGTGTTAAATTGTAGGCCAATATTTAAATGGTATATGGTTTTCCAATGTTTTATATTTAAATATAGACACACCTGGTTGTTTTGTAATTCTCAAACATTTGAACCTAAGGTTTGAATTTAATCAGGTATATTGAGTTTTATCTTTAGTTGCTCAGAATTCTTTTGCCTTCTTCATACTGCTCGAGACTGCTCTAGTCTGAGATATAAGACTGATTTTCAGCGTAATGTGAATTTGCTGTGGAATACATTTACATCTGTTAAAAAGTTTAAGCAAGTAGTAATAGCATGAACAAGATGGGGACATTTGAATACTTAAACTGCGGTAAGTACTTTAGAAATCGAATTACTGTGTTAATTATGAATCAGTTCAGCAAACATCTTTTAAAGACCTTTGGGATTTAAGACTACTAGATAATATATAAGTATTGTCACTTGCTTAGTTTTTATATGAACTTGATAGTATACATTTCATTAAGATTCAGTTACTGTCTAAGTATTGGTCTGAGTTAGTATAGTTTTGTTTTCTTTAGGGGAGTTAATTTATTGATTTAAATAGTTCATACCTGACTGGGGAATATGAGAAGAAAGATGCTAATAATTTCAACAAATACGTTTTTCACTTTCATATTTTATCATGCCATCAGAACTTAAAAGTTGGATTTGTAACAGAATCTATTGTACTAAGTATTGACTCTATATTGTAATTAACCAAAATTTAGAAAAATTTACATATTTGTAAAATTATCATAAAATATTTCCTATAATTAATGAGCTTTCTTTACTTCTTACTTGAGCTCTTTGAACTTAGATATTAATTGGAAATAAAGAATCAGAACAGTATTTGTCAGGTCCAGAATCTAAGAGCAATTTTATATTTTGTAGTACTCGTCTTTTTTGGATATTAAAACAAATGTACTCCAGGATATATCTTAAATATCAAAATTATTAGTTAACAGTTGGTCATCTAGTTAACTTTAGCAAATGAATAATTCAGTGCAATCATTTGTTACGTATTATGTTTTCTGAAACTATCTTGATTAACTTTTTGGAATCATTCATACTCATTATTATACAAATGCCTGTGGAAAGACATTTGGTTTGATTTTTAGACACTTTGGTGAAATCTAATTTAATTTTCTATTTGGCACAGATTTTGTTTGAGTGAGTAATCCTTTTGGGGACAAATTATGACTTTTGGAAAATACCTTAACATTTTCTGACTTTAAATAATATTTGGTAAATTGACTTTGGTGTATCACATACACCTGTTATGACTGGACTATTAATGCCCTTCATAAATACCTACCTTATTAACGAGGAATGATTTGTTCACCTGGCCACATAATTCATATACTGTGCAATTTTGTGCAGTGTCCCTTAGATATGCCGATCTGCTAGCTGCAAGCAATTTAGAGATTACTTTTATGTCTAACTTAAAAGTGGGCCAGATAATATTTGCCATTCTCTCATTCTGTTCTTTCAGCATTGGAATATGTAGTTAAATAAATAATAGTGGATGGGGTAGTGAGTAAATCTTACAGCAGTTAAAATGAATGTCACCAATTTAGGCATGTTTTAGGCCACTCCTGTTATTTTTAAGACTACCTACCTAATTTAGCTAGCACAAATTTCCAAACAATATAGATTCTTATGTAGACTTGATCTTACACGAGGCTTCATCATGGTAAAGAAGATAAGCCAGAGAGAAATTAATAGGGTTTCTTCAAAATTGTCATGCTTTGTTAATTTGGGCTCGAGTTTACTTTTGCAATATCTTTGAAGAAAGCTATTTCAAATAAATGAAAAGTGTAGTGAGACTATATCAAAACTGTTTGAACATGAACAACCATTTCTATAAGAGGCATATTTTTAATTAATGGGTGAATTGAAATAATGATTAAAAGTCATGTTTCTACGTCATTTATGTGGATTCCCATAAGGCTCTAATAAGGACTTTTATTAGGTGACATTTTTTCATCGTTTGAGTTATTATATACATTTAAAAATAAATTTGTTATTTAAATAACTTTAATTTATTTTTAAATTATTAAATTATTTTATTAAATTATTAAATTATTATTAAGTTATTTTTATTTAACTATTTACTGGTTTAGAGGTTTCATAATTTAGACTTACTTCATTTGAATAGCTGTTTTGTGCATTATGTCCTAACTTTATCTCATTTAAGGTATGTAGGTTAGTTGATAGCAGTGATATTTAACCAGGCCATCTGACCTCCAACTTTACCATGTAATTTGTTATGATAGGCTTATTTACTGAGACTTTGTCTAGTTTATCTTCAGAAAGTACCTTTAGACATTGCACCTGCCTAAAGCAAAAGTTGAACTTTTAGTTTTAGAAGAGGATAATTGAATAACTTTTTTTTTTTTGGTAAATACTTGATTCCTTTTCCTCCATGCTCTTGTGAGGATTACAGTATGTTTTTTTTTTTTTTACGAAATTTGAAGATAATCATATACAATTCAGGTTTAAAGATAGCCCACCATGGGATATCAAGAATTGAAAGTTTTCTATATAAAAGATTTTTCTGAGTATATTAATTTTTGCAGATTAGTATTATCAGTCATGACAGTTCCTCTTTCCTCTCCTGTGCTCCCCAGGACACTTTATTGCTGAAAATGTAATTAGACTGTTGCTATAGTTTTCAGCCTGTCAGCTTCTATTGCAAGTGAAATGAAATCTGCTACATAATAAAAGATGGCCACTTGAGAAAACGCCGCTGTTTCTAAGGCATTTGAAAATTTCCTGCAGGAGTCAGAATCTTATAAAATTCTGTGGTCTCCTTCATATTGTTTGCCTTGACAAATGTTTTCTAATTAAAAGTGGCAATATGTACTTACTGTAAGCTTTAGATGTTTCATAATTTAGACTTATTTTTATTTCATTTAAATACTATTTTGTGCATTATATCCTAACTTAACTTTACCTCATTTATTGCATTGGTTAGGTAATAACATATAGTAGTGTTAAGAATGTGGGTTTTAGAGACATAAGGAGAACTTTGAAGATACACCGAGATTTATATGAGGCACTTCACATACTTCCCTGTATGACACTTTGACTTCCCAGCTTTGTCTCTCACAAAGCTTTGTGGTCTTGGACAAGTCGCTTTTTCTGATTTTTCACTTTGTAAAATGTTCCCTCTCCCAAGTTAGATCAAATGAAATAACGGGCTTGAAAATTGCTTTGTGAACGATAAATTGTTTAATGGATGATTGAGTTAAAGCTTAAATAGGATACATCTACCACTGTAAATAAAAGATAATAAAAGCTAACATTTACTAAGATTTTACCATGTGCTAGGCACTGTAAAGTGCTTTATTTACATAGGTTATTTTTATTTAATTTTTGTTATAGCTTATGAGGTAGGTCCTATTATCTTCATTATAAAGAAGAAGAAATTTAGGCGCGAAGAGGTTAAGTAGCTTGGGTTCTATAGCTAGTAAGTGGTAGAGCTAGAATTTCTACTCTAGCAGTCTGAGTCTAGAACATATGCTCTTAACCAAACACTTAGAAAGTGTTCGCTTTCCTGTGAAAACAGTTATTTGGTCCATTACGCTGTTCTTTTCACTAACAGGAAACTTTTTTTCTTGTTGTACCTTTTCTTTTGTTCTTTTAGCCAGCTAAATGTTTTTAAGATACTTTCATTTAAATCTTTTACTATTCCTCTGGATAGAAATGTTGCACATTTTGGTACAAACTAGGCATTTTATAGTTTCTGTTTCTCTCTCAGTAATCTTTTTAACATAGTGAAACTTTGGAAAAATACAACTTTGTGTAGGGAAAAAAATAAGTCCAAATTTTTAATAATGTTTTTATTTCTTATGACAGCATTTTCATTAGGCAAAGCAAGTAAAAGCTTTCTATTAACAGTCTGTAACTGTCATTTTTATATAAACTTGCCTTTTTTTTTTCCTATTTGTAAGGAAATCTACCATTGTCGAAGACAGATTAAATACAGCAAGGACAAGATGTGGTATTTGGCAAAATTGGTAAGCAAAAATGACTACTCCATATAATACTTTGGAAAAGAAGCTATGAATTTCTCCCCAGGATTTGAAAACTTAAAAACAAATTTGCCTTGATTTCTCTAAAAAGTGAGGAATATGTTCAGACAATTGGTAGGTAATCCAAAAATGATTGCTCAGAAATGAGTGATTTTTGCTTAATTTTTTTACTTTTCTCCTGAGGAACAAAATTACAATGGATTCATAGATATTTAGAACAAAGGCATCAGGAATCTGGCTATAACGAGAGAATCCAGAAAACAAGCTTACTCACCTGTAAAAGTTGATGCAACCTGTTTCCAAACTGTTGCTTTCTAAGTTTTTTCTGTGGAAAATGAAATTTAGATATGAGAGGAGACCAAAGCAGCAAATACACATGTAATGCACTGACCCTGTAGGAGAAAGAGGTGCCTGCAACGCCTCACGTGGTCCTTGCCAACCCTTGATCTCTCTCTGTCGTGTCTGCCCTCCCTCAATATTAATGAAAATGGCAGCAACCTAGGTTTTATGGTTAACATGTTTAAGATTTTTGCTTAAAGAGGATGGCGTCCCTTCTCAAACTTGTTTTCTTTTGGCTTCATTTAGTTAGCTATTTTAATTTTTAATTATTGAAAAACTTTTCCCAGTTTTGTTGAGATATCATTGACATTATAACTACTTAGCTACTTTTAGAAATTACTTGGATTATGTAAGACTTTTTCTTTTCATTAAAAAGGAAACACTGACTTTGTAAACTAACTTGTATATTTTCTCTGGTCTGTCACCCCTTAATTCTAGATACGTGGGATGTCCATTGACCAGGCTTTGGCTCAGTTGGAATTCAGTGACAAAAAAGGGGCCCAAATAATTAAAGAGGTAAACTGAGATTTGAGGGGAGGCATGCATAACTGTCTTGTAGGTGTTAGTAAGCTCAGCGTAAATCCTGAATTTTCTGATGTAAATTCATAGCTTCATATAATACAGAATTAGGGCACTCAGTTTCATTAATGTCCTTATCTGTTAGGAATGTGTGTTTTAAGCATTTTTTTTCCTGAGATGCTTTTATTTGCATCACACATTTTTATTTTACTGTTTATAAAGTGATAAATCTTTTTTTTTTAGCTGAGCCATCCTGCCACCTGTTGGCAGCTCAGCTCGGGCCGGGCATCGAACCACTGTTGCTCAGAGCTCGCACTCTTGAGCATGCTCTTAATCAACTGAGCCACTCAGCCAGCCCCTGAAATGATAAATCTTATTTTTAATGATTTGGGTCTTGAGAGCTTATGATTTTACAACTACTTGAGTGGAAAGAGCATTGGACTGGGACTCAGGAGACTTGGAGTCTAGTCCTGTCTCTGATATTTCTATTGTGACTGTAGGCAAGACACTTAATCAGCCTGGTCTCTTTTGGCTCATCTGTAAACTAGGTGGGATTGGATTAGGTGACTCCTAAAGACCCGGCTGTAATTGTAGCTGATTCACTGTGTTCAAATGTGCTGATGGTAATTGCACTAATCCTGGTTTCAAAATGCTGGGTTGAGGACATCTAGGGCTATCAGTGTTATTTCCGAGACTTCAGTTAATTCTCTCATCTAAAGTCAGATCTTATCTTTTCAGTTTTGTAGTTGAATAGTTGAGATGGATGTATTCAGACATCTAAGAGGTTCTATTGTAATGCCTGTATTTCATTCTTTTCAGAATGCAGTTACTAAGCCTCTGTGTGTACTAGCCTTGTACTAGGTTCTTTATCTGTAAAGGAGTGAAAGCTCTGGTTTCTCTTACTTCTGACAACAGTTGTCCTATTTTAAAAAATGTGCTCTGGAGGAAGTTAACTTAATTCAAAATATCCATGGAGTTTAAATTTAATAATTCTAAAGGAAATTTTCAAGTATGATTTTCTTTTCTTGTCTGATGTTGTTAATGGTTGCTTTGGATCCAAGGTTTAAGAATTTTCACTAAGATTTAGTTCTTGAGCTTCTTGAACTTTTGGCGAGTCTCAAGACTCAGAGACGTAATATTCGTTACCAAGGGCACTGCTACAAGGGCTGCTATCTCCTCCTTCACAGCTTACTCCTTCCATTGAAAACTTAGCAGGATGGACTGTGTTTCTAGCATTTGCAGTTCTTGTCTGAGGAAGCAAAGCTCACTGTATCCCTTTTCCTTAGTACCGTTATCATTGGATATTTTCTTTTAATAATTGACTATAAAATGGAGACGTGATTAGCAATCATTATAGAGATAACAATAGATGAGAAATTTAAATTCATTTTAGTTCAGGGTCAGCCATATGAATGAATGTCTTTCTTTTCCTTGTTTAAGATTCTTTTAGAAGCACAAGATATGGCAGTGAGAGACCACAATGTGGAATTCAGATCCAATTTATATATAGGTAAGATGTTTAATGTTTTTAGCATTGGAAAATGTCTTCTAATAGTGATGTGAAGTTCTTTATCTAACAGCGTTGATATCTAATTACTTAGGACTGGGTTTGCCAGTGAAAATTGCTAGTAATAGCTTATTCTTTAGCCTTCAGCAGGCTAATGTTAATTGTGTAAATGGTAATAACTTTACAGCTTTATTGTTACCTGTTCTCTAATGAGACTGAGATCATGAAACCTATTGGCAATAAGTTTTGAATAAAGGATACTAAGATGGTACATAGAGTGGTCATTTAATTATAATAAAACTAATAAAGAACATAACTGATTTTTTTTTTTT